TTTAATATTTTTTTGGTTCATTCGAAAACGCTTTCATGTTCTCACTCTTATGAAATTTCTACAGTTGTCGAGTCTTGATTTTAACTTTTGCAAAATCTATTTTTGTTCCGACTTTCGATACGAAAGTAACGGAATATTTGCGCTCGGGGTGGGTTTTTTTTCTTCAGACAAATTTCGACTTTTTAACTAGCCATTTTTGACGAAATTTTTTTAAATATCATTCAAAAGGTATTGTTGTCCTGAGCTCAAATTTGAAAAAATATTTCACCTGTGATCATTTTTCGTAAGTAATTGGGGTTTAAAGATTGCCATTTCGGCCAATTTGGGACAATTAACGAGCGATATAATTCGCGCTATAAACGCGTAAGCGGAGATTTAATCCGTCCTATAAATCGTTCCAAATTGGTTGAACGAATCTTATTTGCCATAATTGATTTATTAGAAGTAACGGAATCTCTCTTTCTGTACTTTAAATGGCATGTGGGGTGATGATTTTCATTTAAAAAAATTCAAAAAAAAAATTTAGTTTCATTTTATTTAATTAAATTTTTTATGTTTTTACTGCTGCTCCATAAACCTTAGAAGGCAGTCGGAACAATCAGCAGTCTTGTTAATCTTCAGAACAAAGCTTGAGAAATGTGAGTCCAACAGTGAAAGAACTATTTAAATCGGAAAGAACTATTGAAAGAGTTAGCAAAATTAACTCAAGCCTTAAGTTAGGGTAGTATGTGCAAGACTCCAGTATGGACTGTAAGATAAGCACTTTTTCATCTCAGGATGGTTTTGACTGTTCCTGAAATTGCCACTTGTACTCAAAATGTTAAGAATAACCCGCACTGGAGTTCCATGGATAATAATCGATTATATTGTCGTTTTATAGTCAGTATCTATAAAATTACAAAAATAATGGATTATAAACCATCAAAAATGGATTATAATCAAGTTATTTTTATATCAACATAATCCCCTATAATCGATTATAATCGATTATAGTCCGTTAAAATTGGATTATTTTTACAATATTTTTTAATCATTATAATCCAATATAATAGATTATAGTCGATTATAATGTATTTTTTGAGAAGAAATTATGAATGTTGCAAATTTTTTTTGAAATTATCTCATATCTTATTTCGTGCAGTAGCTACATATTAAGTTTCATGAGTTTTTACTTTTTGCATAAGATTTTTTTTTAAAGTTTTCTCTAGTTTTTCTATTCTACGTAAGCTCTATCGTCTCTTTTAACAACCCCCTTCCCCAGTTTACCCCTCGTCAGTTTATCCCCCGCCCCCTCCCCCATTCAGTTTACCCCTCCTCAGTTTACCCATATCTTAGTTTCTTAGTTTACCTCCCCCCCCCCCATTTATCTTAGTTCCCCCCTCCCGTTTACTAATTATAGTCCATTAAAAATGGATAATAATTACAATATTTTTAAATCATTTTCATCCATTTTAATAGATTATAGCAGGGGCGGATTTAGGGGGGGAGGGGCGGGGGGATCGACGTTTTTCTTCTCAGGAATTCGATCCCCTGCCAACCCAAAGGGTCCCCCCTTTGGCACTTTTTAAGAAATCCATTTTTGGCCGACCGACCCTAAAATTTTTCTAAAGGCGCCTTGGGCGCCAGTATATACTAATTTTGAGGGGGAGCGCGCGCCGAAAAAAACGCAATTTTTTGGTGAAAACTTTCTTAAAAGTGCCCAAAACGTCTTTTTCGACCCGTTTTTTCACATATTTGCCAGGCGAAAATTTGCCTGGTAAAAAAAATCCAGCAAAATTTCTAAATCTTACGAAACAGCTTTAAGCAAATCTTAATAAACAGCTCTAATAAACTCTATCTGATCAAATATTTCCAAAGCTTCAGCTTATTTTGTGTTTAATTTAGGAGGAGATTAGCACTTGGATTTCGGGTCTGAAAAGGTGCGCCTATGTGGAGACTAGTGCGAAGACTGGGAAAAACATTGACGTGTTATTTTCCACTCTCTTCGAGACTGCCAATCTGCCCTCAGAAATGAGTCTGGAGGTAACTATTGGGGCAGTAAAACAGTGTCGAAGTACAACAGTGCCGAAAATTATTTTGAATACTGTTTTTTACTAGTGTATAACAGCAAATTAGATGACCGTAACATAACTGAATTTAGACGTTAACGTTTTTTCGGGATTAGACGATTAAATCTAGGCTTACAAAATTTTTTGTTAAGATTGAAGTTACACAAAAACAAAAGGAGTATATTATCACAGAACTGATCAAAACTATTACTGTAAATTAACTATGAAACAATAAATCGTAGTATTTTTGTCAAATGCGTAAATGATACAATAGTGGAGTTGATAATTTGATGTGTGGTTGGACAACCAGTGCTCACTTAACAAAAAATACACAACTTTCATGCAATTTGTACGCAAATTCGTGTCTAAATTCAGTTGTTTTTTGATTGTCTAATTTGCTTGTCGTCTAACTTCCTACTTTCCCTGTTTTTTGCTCATCCCAAATCATTGGCAAGTAATTATAATCAAATAGATGGAAGTTAAAAAGACAAAAAAGCTATTTTGACTGATGCCTGTTGTTAAACAAACAAACAAAAGTTCCCCAAGCGCAGTGTCACATTTTTTTTCTCAACAAACAATTAACTCGGCAAATTATCAAATTATCTTCTCAGTTTTACTTCAAAACAAAACAGTATTCAGTTGAAATTGCCAACGATTTACAAAAAGAACTCAAAATTTAAGAAATCCATTTTTGGCCGACCGACCCTAAAATTTTTCTAAAGGCGCCTTGGGCGCCAATATATACTAATTTTGAGGGGGAGCGCGCGCCAAAAAAAAGCGTTTATTTTGTCAAATTTGTCCAAAAAGTGCCCAAAAACGGCTTTTTTGACCTGTTTTTTCAAAAAATTGCCTGCAGCGCAGAAAATTTGGCCAAAACAGGGTCTCTTTACTGCTTTGGGAGAGCTCTGAAAATCAATCTGATCGACCTAAAAAAAAAGGTCGTCAAAATTTTCGAAAATTTTTTGAAAATCCCCCCCCCCCTCAAGAAAATCCTAGATCCGCCCCTGGATTATAGTCAATTATTGTGTATTTTTTGAGAAAAAATGATGAATGTTGCAAATTTTTTTTCAAAGTTATCTCATATCTTGCTTCGTGCAGTTGCTACATATTACGTTTCCTGAATTTTTACTTTTTGCATGAGATTTTGTTCATTTAAGTTTTCTCTACTTTTTCTATACTAGGTGAGCTCCATCGTCCCTTTTAACAACCCCCTTCCCCAGTTTACCCCTCGTCAGTTTGTCCCCAGCCCCCCATTCAGTATACCCGTTGAATGGTAAACAAACTGGGGGGGGGTGGCAAACTGTAACTTGGGGGGTTTGGGTTTGGGGTAAACTTTAGTAAACGAGGGGGTCGGTGTCGGCGTAGGGATAAACGTAGAAGAGTGGGGGGGGGGGGGTGAGGGGTTTAGGTAAATGCGGATGGGGTGCAAAGTGAGGATGGGATTATTTTGAGTAGGTTTAGATTGCGAGTAGGCCGTGAGTAAAGATTATAAGCCCTTTATAATCAATTATAGTGGATTTTAAATTGATTATATTCCATTATAATGGTTTTTAATAGATTGTATTTTTACGAAAATAATCGATTTTAATGACAATAGAATCGATTTCGTGGTCTAAATTTGCAACAATAGTGGATTAAAATGACATCTTTTTAGACAACAATTTTCCATTATAACCCGAGTCGAGATTTTTCACCTAATCTGAAGCAAGATTTGAGCGGTTTGAGCGGTTTTTTTAGACAATTACGCTCAAAATCTTGCTTCAAAATGAGCGGTTTGAGCGGTTTTTGAACGGTTTATCTAAAAAAAAACGCTCAAAAACCGCGCAAGATTTGAACGGTATTGAGCGGTTTATCTAAAAAAACCGCTTAAAAACCGCGCAAGATATAAAAATAAAAAGTCGACCACAGAGGGATTCGAACCCCCAATCTTCTGATTCGAAGTCAGACGGCTTATCCGTTAGGCCATGCTACCCTGAAACTAGTATCGCCCAGCGAAGCCAATATAAATTACGCACCACAATGAATACTGAATACTCTGCATTCTAATTCATGCAAATTGTACTCTTGAGCGGTTTTTGAGCGGGATTTCGACCCGGGTTTGGTTTTGATTTGGTTTCAGGAACAACAGGAAGTTTTTTCAAAGCAAATGATTTTACCTGCATTCGTGAGTTGACGCAAAACGAATGGCTCAGACTTTTAGGCTCAGAATCTTTCCGGGTCGAGGTCCCACACCCTTGTCCAGACCTTGAGGGTCGCGAAAGTCTCAAAAAATGGCAACTCTTGGTCGCGAGAGTCTGGACATGCCAAAGTTTTGTCGCGAAAGTATGGACATGAGTCTGGGACCTCAACCCGGGAAGACCGCTCAAAAACCGCTCAAATCTTGCTTGAAAAACCGTTCAAAAATCACCGCAAGAAATGAGCGGTTTTTGAGCGGTTTTTTAAGCAAGATTTGAGCGGTTTGAGCGATTTTTCCAAAACAACCGCCCAAACCGTCCAAACTGCTCAAACCGCTCAAATCTTGCTGGAAAACCACTCAAACCGCTCAAATCTTGAGCGGTTTCTGAGCGGGATCTCGACCCGGGAATCGATTATTATCCATGGAACTTTGGTGCGGGAACAGTTAAAAAAGCATGCGCAATTGCTTAATGGTACCAGATAAAGTACTATAATTGACAAAGACCTACAAAATTTGGAAAATTCCCGGGAACATTTTTGGTAACAAGATATCGGTTTGTGAGTATCTTTGAATTTTGTGTTGCTTTCCGGGTAGACAAAAATGCAGGTCATCCAACTCTCATTAACATTCTCAGACCTTTCTTTTTCATGTATGGAGGTCAAGGTATCAACGGGTAATCATTAGGCATCGGGTTTAAGATTTAATGAGTGCTTTTACTAGGTAGGTGTTCATTATTTGTTAGCATATGTCCTGAAATATTATTGGATGCTGCTGACCTGAGAGGAAGAGGACTCGTCGCATAGCCTGGAACGGTCTGTTTCCGGAGGTGTCCAGGATGTCCAGCCGGTATCCCACTCCCCCTATCTTGTAGATCTTGCGATGGAAGTCCTCGATGGTGGGGAAGTACTGATCCACGTATCGGTTGTGGAGAAAGCGCTGTGTGATTGCTGTCTTGCCCACCCCAGATGAGCCTGTGCAAAATTTTTTTTTGCCCTATCAGAGAGGATTGATGAAAATTAACAAAAAATGAATTGAGATCCTAAGCAGCGGTTCTCCGTAAAGAGCTAAACAGCTCGTATGTTGGTCCTTTTAAGGGGGGGGGGGTGTAGTATAACGTGTATGTTGGCCCATTTGAGGGGGGTATAACCGAAAAGACCTCTTTTCATTATTGTGGATAAATCGTCTCAACTGAATCTAAACGCTGCTATAAACTGATTTAGCGTTTTCCCTTGCTTTCATATGTCAAAATTAGTTTTTTTTTGCAGAAACTATCTATTTTGTGAATTGCCTTTTGATTATTCGTCGCTAATTTGAATTTTAATGCTTACTTTTTGGTTTTTTCAATAAAAAATAGGATGAAAAATTCGAAAAACTAACGTTGAAAATGTAGCTTTTTTAGTAATGACAAAATGTAGCTAGATCAGTTTACGAGTTATGGTTACACAAAAACTTTCAAATTGAACTTAGTTTAAAACTGAAGTTACAGAGCAGAAATAGAATCAGTAGTGAGTTGAGGCTTCAAAATGAATTGAAAATTGTTTTTTTTTGTGAAGCTCGAAAAAACTGATCAAGGGACGTAGTTTCATGTATCTTCTAAATGAAAAAAAAAGTTTTTTAAATTTGTTATGCAAAAAATTAGTTTTTCGGCATTATGTTTGGCATGTATTGAGAATGCTAATAATTCTATTAATGTGAACAGGTTCTGGCAAATTTTAATGAACGTAGAAGTAATGACACGAACAGCAATCATAACCAAAGCAGTTCGAATTTCGTATTCGATTTGCGCTGAAGTGTGCTTACCAAGAACTACGAGACGATAGCAGTTTTTAGGGGGGATGTCCAACTCGGCATTAGCTAAATCGATCACCTCGTACACCTCGTAATTGACCCCGGCGGCCCCTCCCCCTCCCGAGGAGGAATTGTTGGAAGACGCGCCCACTTGGGTTGATCCATTTTGTTGAGTCGCCATTATAGCACAGCGGATATTTCAACGCAGTCGAATGGTAAGAATTTTTTTATCACCCGTATGTGAAGTTGCACGTTTTTGTGATAGAGACCGGATTTGTTTTTCGCTGACCTCAGGAAACAATAAAGGAAACAGTAACCCAATATATCCAATTTAATGGCTGGGAAAATATGGACAGAGTGAAAATAAGAAATAAATAAATGAGGAGGGTAAGATGAAGTAAATGGGGGTGGGGGAGGTGAAAGAAAGCGGGTCTTAGGTTCTCGAAACAGAGTGTTAAGCGACACCAATTAGGAAAACTGTGCCTGGAAGGCTAGAAGCGGATGATTGAAAGTGGTAACAAGCATAAATTAAAATCGAAATCTTCTTACTTTAAAATCAATTAAATATGCGGAAATCTAATTTGACCAAGCAAGCATAGCAAAGGTCAAGTCAGTTTATAATCAATTTTTCTAAAAGCAGCTAAGAGATTAAAATGCTTGATTGGCAATTTTTCAGTCGGACGATATAAAGTTACCAATTTGTGAAAGAATTGGGAAATTGTACTCCGATTCGTAGGCTGTGGCATTTCAATTTTGCTTCTCGTAGCTCTTGGTTATCATCTAAAATGATCTAAATTGTGATAGGAAACAAAAAAAGATGAAAAACTGCATAAGTCTGATAGGTAAGGTTACTGATGGTGTTATTAGAATACTGTACAAAGAATCTGATAATTTGTTCCTGGGAAAACTAACACCACCAAAATTGAAACATTTAGCTCGGTGGCTTTCATCGTACCAAATGTGATTTAAATAAACATCAACTTCAGGACTCAAGGCAAATAAAAGGAAAATGAATTTCCGTTTGTTTTTGCAGGCAAGGAGATATTTTTTCTGATTCATTATTATCGATATACGTGCACACTTTTTCCGCATTGATAGAGCTTTTTAAATGTAGAAGGCTTTTTGACGTTCTGAAAACGCGTTTGAAGGAGAAACTGTTTTTTTTTATACAATAGATTTTGTATTCAAACGTTTCTCTCTGTTCTGTCTTTTAACATATCCGACAGTACAATTAATGGAAAATCGCTGATAATTGTCATCTAAAAATATCAAGAGCTCTCAACTAGATCAAGCTGACTTTTTACAGGACAGTATATCAAACTTGGTACTCTATGAAAATCAATTGAAAAACTTTTTGATGGGAATCGAAATGAAATATAAATCACAACAGGTTAATGAAACACTTCAGTAGACAAACAAATTCTTCTATGATCAGCAAGTGAAACAATACCGTTGCTCAAAGGGCGGCGAGGGGTGCCCCTCCCCCTCAAAATGTGCACCCCTTTGTTTTGGTCCCCGGCATCAATTTTCGACCAGAACTACAATTTCCATGAGGCACTTTTGCTCGAAATTGAAAAAATGTTGCCTTAAGATAACATTTTTGTTAAATTTTATACACAATTAGCCAACGTCATTGAAAACGTCAATTTGGTCGCAAAAAACTTGAACTTTTCAGCTCTTATATTTATCTGTAAATTCTGGCCGATATAATATGAAAACCGAATCAAACCCAAAAAAAACAAGACTGCTCGTATCAGGGCGGAGCCATGAATGTTCCGACAGCCTTTTAAGGTTTATGGAGCAGTAATAACATTAAAAAATTAAATGTAAAAAAAACAAAATGAAATTTTTTTTCTCTAAAATTTGAAATTTTTTTTTATGAATATCATCCCCCCACACGCCATATAAAGTACAAAAATATAGATTTCGCTCCTTGTAACAAATCAATTATGGCAAATAAGCTTCTTTCAATCAATTTGGAACGATTTCTAAGACGGATTAAATCTCCGCTCACGCGTTAATAGCGCGAAATATATCGCGCGTTAATTGTCCCAAATTGGCCAAAATGGCAATCTTTAAACCCCCATAACTTTACGAAAAACGATCACAGGTGAAATATCTTTTCAAATTTGAGCTCATGACAACAATACCTTTCGAATGATATAAAAAAATTATGTCCAAAATGGCTAGTTAAAAAGTCGAAATTTGTCCACCCCGAGCACAAATATTCCGTTACTTTCGTATCGAAAGTCAGAACAACAAAGGCAAATGAAAATTTAATCAGTTACCAAAATGAACAAGACTGCTCGTATCAGGGCGAAGCCCTGAAAGTTCCGACTACCTTTTAAGATCTATGGAGCATTAATAAGATAAAAAATTTCAATGTAATAAAAAAAATAAAAATTTTTTTTGAAAAAATTGGAGATTTTATGTGAAAACATCCCCCCACACGTCATATTAAGTACAAAGTGATAGATTTTGCGCCTATTAACAAATCAATTATGGCATATAGGCTTCCTTGAACCAATTTGGAACGATTTCTAAGACGGATTAAATATCGCTCGCGCGTTAATAGCGCGAAATTTATCAAGCGTTAATTGTCCCAAATTGGCCAAAATGGCAATCTTTAAACCCCCATAACTTTACGAAAAATGATCACAGGTAAAATATCTTTTCAAATTCAAGCTCAGGAAAACAATAGCTTTCGAATGATATAAAAAATTGCGTCGAAAATGGCTAGTTAAAAAGTCGAAATTTGTCTGAAGAAAAAAAAACCCACCCCGAGCACAAATATTCCGTTACTTTCGTATCGAAAGTCGGAACAATAAGCATATTGCGATCTCGCATCATCCTGAGGGGGAAAATGTTAGGCTCATCTGAACCCCCTGAATAGGCCAAGTGAACAGTCTCCCCCCAAAATTAATTGGCAAATTCAAGCAGAAAGGCCTGCATGTACAATGCTCATATCTGACAGGCTGAAGAAAATTACTTTTAAACAAGTGAGCGATCTCCTTACTAATACCGTGCTACAGCTCTAAACCATTCTAGGAGAACTATCACTGGACGAGAAGTATATTTAAAACCAGGTAATGAACACTCTCAACCGGGATTACGACCTACTAATTGTTCCGACCAAAATGAACAAGACTGCTCGTATCAGGGCGAAGCCCTGAAAGTTCCGACTACCTTTTAAGATCTATGGAGCATTAATAAGATAAAAAATTTCAATGTAATAAAAAAAATAAAAATTTTTTTTGAAAAAATTGGAGATTTTATGTGAAAACATCCCCCCACACGTCATATTAAGTACAAAGTGATAGATTTTGCGCCTATTAACAAATCAATTATGGCATATAGGCTTCCTTGAACCAATTTGGAACGATTTCTAAGACGGATTAAATATCGCTCGCGCGTTAATAGCGCGAAATTTATCAAGCGTTAATTGTCCCAAATTGGCCAAAATGGCAATCTTTAAACCCCCATAACTTTACGAAAAATGATCACAGGTAAAATATCTTTTCAAATTCAAGCTCAGGAAAACAATAGCTTTCGAATGATATAAAAAATTGCGTCGAAAATGGCTAGTTAAAAAGTCGAAATTTGTCTGAAGAAAAAAAAACCCACCCCGAGCACAAATATTCCGTTACTTTCGTATCGAAAGTCGGAACAATAAGCATATTGCGATCTCGCATCATCCTGAGGGGGAAAATGTTAGGCTCATCTGAACCCCCTGAATAGGCCAAGTGAACAGTCTCCCCCCAAAATTAATTGGCAAATTCAAGCAGAAAGGCCTGCATGTACAATGCTCATATCTGACAGGCTGAAGAAAATTACTTTTAAACAAGTGAGCGATCTCCTTACTAATACCGTGCTACAGCTCTAAACCATTCTAGGAGAACTATCACTGGACGAGAAGTATATTTAAAACCAGGTAATGAACACTCTCAACCGGGATTACGACCTACTAATTGTTCCGACTTTCGGTACGAAAGTAACGGAATATTTGTGCTCGGGGTGGGTTTTTTTTTCTTCAGACAAATTTTGACTTTTTAACTAGCCATTTTTGACGGAATTTTTTAATATCATTCAAAAGGTATTGTTGTCTTGAGCTTAAATTTGAAAAGATATTTCACCTGTGATCATTTTTCGTAAAGTTATGAGGGTTCAAAGATTGCCAATTTGGCCACTTTGACCAATTTGGGACAATTAACGCGCGATATAATTCGCGCTATTAACGCGTAAGCGGAGATTTAATCCGTCTTATAAATCGTTCCAAATTGGTTGAACTAAGCTTATTTGCCATAATTGATTTGTTACAAGGAACTAAATCTCTCTTTTTGTACTTCATATGGCGTGTGGGGGGATGATTTTCATAAAAAATTTCAAATTTTAGAAAAAAAATTTTTCGTTTTATTTTATTTCATTTAATTTTTTTAATGTTATTAGTGCTGCTCCATAAACCTTAAAAGGCAGTCGGAACATTCAGGGCTTCGCGCTGATACGAGCAGTCGTTTTTATTTTGAAAATGAAATTTTGCAGTGGAACTATCTGAAACTATTTGAAATCGTGGAAATCCCTCACGCATCTTGTGGTTTGAAACTAGCCGAGCGATCGTTATTGTCGGTGTTGACAAGCTTTGCCTTTCAGGAACACTATTATATTTCTTAAAATTCATTTGTTCTCGCGGCTTCTTACTTGCGGTGTAGCTATAACTACTATTCTGAATTACTCAACTCGGTTCAGTTTTACTTGAGGGCTTAGGATAGTCATCGTAGGCTTCTGGAGGAGTGCAAGAACGCGGGGCGCTTAGCTCAAAATGAGTCATTTGAACGAGTGCTCCTGGTAAAACGTCCTTGTAACCGTCATCGCGTCTGGCAGAGGACATAGGGCAATTTAGCTCAACTGTAAGTCTGTTAGTTTGCTTAGAATGGTTTCTAACAATTGCTTTGACACCATTCCCACTGACTCCACTAATCATACTACCCATACGATTAATAATACTATAAGTAGAAATCCGTCGGATAAAAGGGCAATTACTCAAGATTAATCAATTCGACTGTTGTCTCCAAATCGCCCGTTTTTGCTGAAATTTTACCTGGCTGGTACCACAATTTAATTGGGGTGAAAAGCACGTGGAGATGCTTTTCATTGAAGATGGATGAGTTGTACTGATCCAAAATCATGATGTTCATAATTATTGTGGAAAAATAATTGAAAAATAGTTTCCCAAAGCTGATGTTTTTGCTCAATTAGCTTGAATCTGAAACAATATTGAAACCTGGAAGTCTTTCAAAATTTTTGAACGAATTGTTTTTTTTTGAAATTTCGGGAAACACCTTATTCTGATCGACTAAATGTTCCAAAAACTCAACATTGATCGCAAAACCCCCTATTTTTTTTGAACTGAGTACATCTGTTAGTTTGTCCGGTATCATCTCTCTGAAAATGCAGGGGATTTTAGCATGAAGAGCAAATCGAATCCGAAGAAGGCACATCATAATTGAATCGGTTCCCACAAGGCTAAAGCATATTGCGATCTAGCATCACCGTGAGAAGAAAAGGTTCGGCCTTCGAATAGGCCGAGCATTGAAAATTTTGTCAAAATATGGTCTTTATCAGGGGCGGATTTAGGGAGGGGGGGGGCGGGGGGGGCGGACGTTCCTCCTTAGGGATTTGACCCCCTGCCGACCCAAAGGGTCCCCCCTTTGATACTTTTTCAGAAATCCATTTTTGGCCGACCGACCCTAAAATTTTTCTAAAGGCGCCTTTGGCGCCAATAT